TAGTCTATACCCTCTCGTACCCTCTGCACAATTATTCATTATAGTAAAGTTACAATAAAAAGGTCTGAAATTAGAACAGCAGATATGTTGACTGACCTGGATCAAAGCAGATGGAATTCATTTCATTATTTACAACCTATCTCTGCTTTTACAACTGTGACTTGACAAGTTATGTACCTTGAAAAAAAGCAGACATGGAGAAACATACAAACTGACCTTAAGTATCTGCATGCACATTCTGGTTTTAAGTGACGTGACGTTTTTATAGATTTTGCTTGTGTTAGTCAAGACGCTAGCTTCTGGATATAATTTTGTTTTCTATAATGTATTTAATAAAGTACTGAGTTTCAGGAGTAAAGATGTGTCTCACTGCAATCACAATTTACATTTTGTCAGGGAATCATAATGTTGATAGAAAAATATAAACAAATGGTGAACTTACTATGTCTTATAAATAACTCATTCTACTTTCATTGGAGGTCCTCTAATCTTATACAGAAGATGTAAAATTGAGTATATGATTTGTATCCCGCAGCTTGTTGTTCTGTTATCTGGCTCTGCTTCATCACCAGAAACTTCTGCTCATTTCTTCCCTCCTATAAATGTGCTTTAAGTAGGTTATGCTCTTATTTGAGTTGAGGAAAGTCACAGAAGTGGAGAAAAATAACTCAAGCTGTCAATTCTGAAGATTCATAAAGACAACAAATAACACATACACAGCTATAATGGGGGAGTTTACTTCCTCATTAAAACATAACCTAAGGTAAAACAGTCTAACGTGTGGTGGTGTTCGTAACTCAAACATATGCAAATAGGTTGCGAATCTGCATCAAACAGACAGAATAACATTATAGTCGACGATCACCAGGGGACGTGGTGCTTTGGTGCCTGCTCCTCTGCTGGAGCAAGGAAAAACATCTGAAGCACGTTCATGTCAAAAGTTTCAAGGTTTATTACTTTGCATTGTGACCCATTGTCACCTTAACAGAGGCTCCTTCAAAAAGAAAGACATTTAAAGACACGGAAAAGCAACAGATGAGATTGTTTATTACACTGAAATAACTAATAATTCCTCCATTATACTCTCACAGTATAATCGAACCTTCAATATATTAAAAACATGTTTTATTTTTGTTTTCAAACTGGTTTATAAAATATTCCTTCATTTGAGGGTCAAAGTAAGAATGAATAATAAAATATCAATAACTTAAAAATTACACATGAACTTAAACTCATTAAAAGTCAGTGTAGAGAACTTGACTCAACATCCGCCTGTAAATTTAACTATCATCAAACAACATAACTGTTGGCAGTCATGAGAAACTTATCAAACGTTAAGGAACCTTTCAACAATTCAGTCATTTTACAAGTACAACAATGCAACACCTTCCTGTTCAGTATGTTGCTGTTTATGTAGTGCCACTGCAAACATTTCAAAAACACAAATCTAAATGTACAATTAGTTCAAAAGTCTTTTCTGTGCGGCACAACAAATGTCTTGACTGCAAAACATATGTTTCACCTTTGGCCCACTAGCAGATAAATCCATGTTTCAAAGAGTGAATGATTAAATTCACTGTTATTAAGTAACATTGAGCACATGTTTTTAGGTTGAAACTAAATTGGCTCGTTACAGTAAAACACATTCATATTACATGCTAGGGTGCAAACTTTTGTCCTATATTTTTTGCTGGCGTTTAAAAAAGTACCCAAACCAAAGACTATTTGGTTATTTGTTAATTAGTCAGGGTTCAAACCTTAAGCGCAGGACCGACACGTACATGTTGGAGTTTGAACGGACACGTTGCACATTTTTTGTGTGATGACATCATGCTTTGCTGAACTGCATGTTACGTTAGCATAAAAACTGGGTATGTTGTGTGTACCGAGGATGAAATCCTGCGAAAAGTATCCATTTATTATATATATGTATATAACAAGTAAAATAATAATCATTACTATTAATATTATTATTCAAATTATTAAATTGATGTGAGCTGGAATGAGCAATGGAATGACCAATCATGTAATTGTAAATGATGTGCAAATGTTAGCAGATGCTGTATTAAGGGTAAAAAATGATAGAGGATGGGCAAATGGTGGAACTTTGAGTGAGTAGTAATGCAAATGCTGCAGGCAATGTGATGATGAAACAAAGGTGCGACTGGTCTCACTTCTTAAAACCAGATTCAACTTGCTGACTTTGCTCGGCTCTGTGAAGACTCTGACTTTTGTTGTCCACCAAAGTGCTTGAAACAGGAAACGCCTCTTGTGGTTATTTTAACAATTGTTAAAACATTTTAAAATCAAAATACTCAAGTCCAAACGTCACATATTTCACATAGAAGGTTATTACTCTTCGGCAGCATGTGACTGTGAAGCCAGCGAATCAAATACAGTAACTTCCCAGAGATTTAGATGACTCGTTCTAAAAACAAACCAGAGTGTGTAGTAGATAATGCAGTACCTTATGTACTCATGTAGTGCGCAGTATTCACACCCCATGTTCCACACACCAGAATGAAAAATCTGGATATACCTACTACTAAAGACAGTACTACACTATGGTTTATGCCTGAATGTTAAACAGGCAATAACTGAGCACTACAAAATTACCACAATATACTGCATGTGGAGAGGTAACAGTATTATTAGAGCTTGGAATTTGTAATAACAAAAGTGTGATTTTATCCAAAGGGTAACTACAGGTTGATAAAGGTAAAAAATAGTAAATATGGCCCTTTAAATGTTCAAAACCAGTCAAGTTTTTGTACAGTACCTCTGAGCCCAGCTTGAATGTTTTTATTACTGCAAACCGCTGCTTTTGTACCACTGTCCAGTGAGCTCGCCGCTGTATTCCCTGCTGTTTAGTGAACATCTCGCTCACACTATCTCCTGATGAAGAGGTCTTTGCGTTTCCGCAGCCCTTCCAGCACCCGAGCCCTGAACTGGGTCCAGTCTTCATCCTGGAGCTGCTGGAGGCCAAGGGCCAGATGGAGCTCAGCAGAGTGGCTGCGCAGGAAGGGATTGTACAGCTTCTCTTCTCCGATAGTGGAGGGACTCTGAAAATAAAGCAGGTGAATAAAAACAACCCTCATCAAAATATGATGGGCAAAGCTCACGGCCGCGATGATTCACATGCCACTCATTTATTTGCGGAACAGCATTATGGGTAGCAAGAGATTACTGCCAAGTTGACCCAAGTTGTCTTTCTGCATCTCTACCTTAGTTCAACTGATGCGACACTTTGACTCATCAACAATTAATCACGTCTTTCTTTTCCATCTCATGCAATTAGCAGAAAATCCTCTACATCATTTGCTAAACCAGATGATAACCTGGATCACACTGATTCAAAGTGGTTAAAACAAGTCGAAGAGCAATTTTCTGCAATCAAATTCTTTCGTAGTTGGTTGTGCCGGCACCCCATGTGTAGAGGCTACAGTCCTCGCTGCAGTGGGCCCCGGCTCGAATCCCGCATTGGCGGGCCCTTTACTGCGTGTCATTCCACTCTCTCTGCTCCCTGTCTCTCCTTCACTACACTATTATTAAAGGCACAAAAGCCCAAAAAATATACTTATAAAAAAAAATTAAAAAATATATCCAGCACAAGTAACACATTAAAAGAAATACCCACAGCTGAGATACTAGAGCAACCTATTTTCATTTGAATTCAAAGTAGGAGAAGCACTGGTCAATATTTCAGATACTCTTTCCATTTCCTGTGGCAGTGATATTTCATCCATCAGTAGGTGGAACATGCTTTAGGAGCAGATCTGGATAAATGAGCAAATCCGGGAATTTCTTTCCACTTTTTTTAACATGGCGAGATAAGGGGTGGAGGTATTAATTCTCTCATTGCCCTTCTAGTAAAGTATAACAGTAATTTAAGTGTTCAGTTCATCAGTATCTCCTCTCCCCATTGTTCTTCGTTCTGGTAGCTCTGCTATAAGCAAAGCTACATGTGATGTAGTGTGATGTTTGTCTGTGTTTTTCTTTACTGTGCAGCTGATCTTCTCATCATGTTCATGTTGAAAAACAACAGAAAAAAAGGGTCAAAACTATTTGAGAGGATGAACATTGGCCACATTTCATTCAATCCTGCACACAATGCAGAGATGTAGTCCGAGATGTAGACGTTGTAGTTATGGAAGTTCAGGAAACTGCAAGTTTGCAACACCTACACCATTCTGTATTGATAAAAACTCATCTAAATTCCAGATAGAAGCAACACTGACCCCTTTGCTCTGCTGCAGATGCTAGACGGGTCGCACGTAGACGAGCCTCGACCGTGAGAGGCTCAAAGAGGAGGAAAGAGCGAGCACTCTGGGCACTGACAACACAAACACTGTACGCAGGTGATAAGCCCTTCTTCTTAGGTGCTGGACAACGTGAATCCTTTCTGGGATGGTGTGCTTGAGAGGCATAACAATGGCAATGTATCATTCTCACCGTGCACAGCTTCTGGCCTCGCTGCTGCAGCACCCACTGATATTTGTTTTCCCTGGCAGTGTTGTGTGGCTCAACCTCAGCGCCGAACAGCAGGTTGTCTTCTGCATACTCATGACCTGAGGGAGAGCCAGTTGACGCAAAAATAAAAAATCATGCCCACACACGTAGCCAAACTTAAATCTTACACTTCAGAGAGGTCCCTGTGCTATGCCTTTCATGACTTTGACTGTAAGTAGGTGCATTGCTGACACAGTATGACTCTTAACGTACATAATTGAAGCCACTGCACATTCAAACCACTACAGCATCACACAAACACTGACACTGTGTCTGAGTCTGTGACAAGGGATGAGATTTTACTTACCCGGCCATAATAGCGTATCATCACTTAAAGCGCTGACTGTGTCCAGAGATGACAGCATTGTTGTCGCGCTGCCTTCAAACATCCTTCCTGAAAACAATGAGAATGGGTTTGGATTCAAAACAGCACATCTGCACATTTTTGGCGGGGTATCTGTATTTCAAAGGTATTTCACGATTTAAAGATCTTTTCATTGAGACTTGGAGTTCAACTTGAATCTTGAAATAAAGTTTTTGAGATTTAAATTTGTCAATTGCTGTGAAACCGACAGATCAGAGATCTAGAGTAAAACACACAAACAATTTTATTTTAAAAGGATCATTCAGCTGGTTCTATGCTACTATTTACTAATTCTATTCCACAGTGCACCAAGGAGCACAAATGATGCTGGCTTTGAATGATGGAATAAACATCTGGCTATAGTCTTCTGGTCGATTGGTTGGTCTCTTCTGTCAAAATTCTTAGTGGTCACCAAACCGTCGATCGCGATCTACTGGACGATCTCGACATTCTTCACTGTCGATCTCCATAACTCTCTGGACTCACATGGCAGTGTCTCCTGGTTTATCTACTGCATTTCCTTCAATACAAGTCGGATTATGCACTAAACTGAATGTCAGGACTCTACGGTATGAAGACGTGCATCTTCCGGTCTGTCGACAACAATCAAGGCCCTGTTAGAACAAATGAATGKATTCAGAAGTGAAACGCTGGAGTGCTTTTACTTTGAAACAGGTTCAGAAAGCGTTGTAAATACATTAATGACAAAGACAGATCAACTTTGTGTTTCACAGCAGAACAAACAGAAAATGATCTTTCACCTGAGTTTTAATGTTTATCTGTTGAATTTATGTCACAAACACTTTCTGTAGGTGTGTCAAAATAAAAGCACTCCAGTGTTTCTTTTGACCAAATCCAGTCTTTTGTTTAAAAGGTTTTTTATTGTGAAATATTTGAAGGATACTGTATAGTACTGGTATTTATTTGAGTACACAGGACAATAGTCATATTTATGGCCATAATCCATGCAAAGCCTATGCAAAAACATTGTGCTGCAGTAGCAGCTCCTCTCCAAAACATATTGTTGAACTGAGAAGCTAAATATTGTGCATTGAACAGATGCTGCAAATATGAATTGATATCACTGTGAATATTGTGCATTGAACAGATAAAGTTGCATAACTGCCTTTCTTTGTGAATATTTATGCTCGTACATTGAGCCTTTAACAGAATTTGCAAAAAACAAAAAATATGACCCTCCGCTTTTTGCAAGATATCGGGTGGTAGATCTCAGCCTACATGTGGAATTAAAAAGTGATCTTGGGTGACCACTGGGTTAGATAATCACCATTGTTTCTAATCATAAGTAGAAAAGTGTCACATCAAAAGCCTACCAGGGTTAATCCATTATTTTCAGCAGTGACAACCTGTGAGTACAACTTCGGACACACCTAACACAATGGAGACTGTTCGGTCTAACCGATTTAACTGATTTGTATAATGATTTCCATGGATCCAGTTTTCTGTGTAACTCACCACATCCTGAGAGGAACACCAGGTCACCAGAGAAGAGGCTGGGTGGGTTGCCGGCTGCTTGTCCATCCAGGAGGTAGATCATGTGACCCACTGTGTGTCCAGGAGTGAAGAGGGCCTTGAAGTGCATACGGCCAACTGTTACAGAGTCCTTGTGTGAGAGAGGGCTGGAAACACACACACACAAAACAATACACACCACTGATGTCAACACAATATCACTCATTTGCTACACCCTGTTGCCATTTGCACATCTACATACTCTGCTTTAAGAGCCAACATCTTGCGTTATCGATTTTTTTTTGGGTGATTTTTCATATTTCTAAGTGTAAAAAAACAGACAGAAAGACATGATGAATGGAATGAGACTTTGTGATGTGTTCAAATGATGCTACATGCGAGCAGGGACTTACTGCGTGAGGCCAGGAATGTTATCAGCTGCGTTTCCATAAACTCTACATGAGCTGTGAAGCTTTTTCAACCCTTTGTTTCCCCCACTGTGATCCCTGAAAATGGAACAAAAAGCAGAAGCTTGCCAGTGTTACAGACACAATAAAAGAACTGTGTATTTGTTTTGGCCTTCAGGTGAAACTAAGCATTTTCAAGGTATGAACGGTATAAATGTCATTTTAAATACATGTATGTTTACATTAGTGGGGGTTTTCCCCTTAGATTAGCAATTGTATGCATGAGAACTCCACGATATACAATTTATGTCAATGTCACTTTATTTAGCACCCTCACCTTATTTTTCATTTGTTAAATTCCAAAAGAAAACACTTGATAAAATAAAATAAAATACATATGCAACCAAATTATAAACCTCACCAATGCTTGTGTGTACAGAGTATTGCTTCTAACATCACGCCCTCTTCCTCGAGGACAGCCTGAAAAATTACAAGTGCTGTTAAAACCATCAGACAACATCAGCAGTAATTTATACAAAAGCCCATTAAGCTGCACAATACTTCAGATTGTTGAGAGATGATGGCGTGCACTTTCACAAATAAAAAACAGCGGAATTCACCTGCACTGTCTGAGGGTCTGCAGGGTCAACAACCACTGCGACACTGGAGGCTGTGTCAATTATAAGATAGCTGTAGTTGTCAGACAGTACTGGGATGGGGATTATTTTGATATCTGTAGAGAGACAAAAAAAGTTATGTTAATATTAAACTTTTGTATGTACTTTTAAACGTATACATGTTTATTATATATATGTATGTGTGTCCTGATGTAATGTTTATAGTGCATCTTGTAGAATAGTAGAACCATAGACTGTGTATAAAGATGGATGACATGACAAGCTCCCCTAAAGTGAAGCCAAAGCAGTTTGATCATCCCCTTGTGGCTGACTGCAGTATAATACGTAGACCCTTGATTCCACCATGGAAGTGGATGGGACATGGGCCAATCTAAAAAGTCAAATTACACATAAAATGAAATATTATTAAACATGGTTTTCTATCGTTTTAGGTCGTTCCTATCCTATTGGGGATCATTTTGGGATCGCGGCAGGAAGAGGAGATGCAATCGTCCATCTTTATTTTAAGTCTATGCCTGGAGAATTTTGCTGTGCTGTGATAATGAGCCTGTGCAACATACTGAGGGCAACTGCACAAATAACACAGAAAAAAGACAAATACTGTATTTGCACAGTAAAAAGACAGTGAAAGCAATGCTGTCACATACCATTGAGCTCCGTGGGGTGGGCGGTGGAATGTCCAGCAGGGTATTGCTCCCGGGCTTTTCTCATTTGCCTCTTGTAGTACATGTAGCCCAGTCTGGTGCTGGTGTACAGCGCGTACCTGCAGGGAAACAGCCAACACTGTGATAAAATGCTAACCTGATGCTAACCCACACTGATTCTTAGATTCTACATATACATTCAGTGGACATGATCTTATCAACAACACTGTCACCTAAAGGAAACTGCTCCTGAGCACATGTAAGTGCTGCCGAATGAAACAATAGCTGTCATTTGTTTAGGAAGTGCCTTTAACTAACATGTTGGCGCAGTGCATTTGTCTACTATTAATGTTCAACTTTAAATCGCGACATCATTCCAATGAAGTTTGGTGTCACACGGTTAGATGTTGCTAAGCTACGCGGCTCGACAACAACAATGATCTTATTCAACATTTTCACGTTGGACTCACGCGATCCGGAACAGCGGCTTCTCCGTGCGAGCCATGACGTCAGTCCTCAGCCTTCTCCACAGCAGGCGAACTGTTCGTCTGTAGCGAAAACACACGCAGAGGAAACACAGCAGAGATGCGGCAGGAATCAGAAACGTCCAATCCTCGGGCATCATTCCGCCATTGCCCCGCAGAGCACAGCGATGACGACACAAGCGACGCGATCAACCCCGGAAGAGAGGACGCAAAAGAAAGCGAACTGCGGTCAAGTGAGCAGACGTTCGTCTCTCCCTGATTTCAAGTGCGCCCGTATTACAGAATGTATGGCAAATGCAGGTAGTCCATGATACGGAGCGAGCCAATCTTTTATGCCACTGTAAAATCCCTTTGATCCATAGTTTCTGACAAAGGTTGTCAAAAGTTGTCCTCAGGACCATCCTGACTGTTCACTCACTCAGCATCAGGCATATTTACTGTATCATTTTGGAGAAATTCAGCCTCAAAGTTCATAATTTTGAATTGAAAAAGACATTATGTGCAATATTTACTCTACTGTAAAATCTCTTTGATCCATAATTTCTGACAAAAGTTTGTACACTTGATCTCAGGACCATCCTGACTGTTCACTCACTCAGCATCAAGCATATTTACTGTATCATTTTTGAGAAATTCAGCCTCAAAGTTAATTTTTTTCAGTTGAAAAAGGCATTGTTTTTATTTTCTCTTTCAGTTAGAGATTCTCTTGTTTTATTGTTTTTGTTTCATTGTGTTTATTTGCTGCTTCTGCTGAGTCTTCAGATTCTGGTGTTCTGTTTCATTGCTGCTCACCTCAGAATTTTAGGTTCCCTCTCATGTACCTCAGGTTTTGGAATGATGATTAATCTTAAAAATTATAATCTATAATTTGATTATTATTTTCAACAAAAACACAGAAAGAACTTCAGAACTAAACATTTATATTCATCTCTGATCGTACACATGATTGTGCTATTCAAGATTTTTATTGTAATACTTTCTTTTTTTTCTTTTTGCTGATTTGGCCTTTTCAACCCCCCATGGTGAATTCATGGTCTGAATAAGTATGGACTTATGTTCAAGATGTGTCTATGTTTATATATATATATATTTTTTTGTTTTTGGATGACTTTACAAAGTTAATTGAAAAAAACAACAGCATTTCTGATGTTTTTATACTTTGCTTCAAGGGTGTATTATAGGGTTTAATAAATTACAAACCACCTGTTGTGTTTTCAATAGGGAATCATTTCATTGTCTACCTTCTATCATAGTAATAATGATAATATGCACGTTATATTGTTTTTCTTGATTATATCTGTTTAATATATTGCTATCAGTTTGTATTTGTTTATTTGAAACTTTATTCATTACCCCCGGCTTTATATATCTATTTATTTCTATTTATCTTTTTTGATATGTGGTTTATGTTGTTTTTTTCTTTTGTGATTATTGCTGAAGTTTATTTTAAGTAACTCACGATTAACTGTGAAATATTGTTCTAATGTTTTCTTCTCTGTATTGATTTTTCCGTGGCTAGGATTGTAACTAAATTTTAAATTTGCATTTTCAAGCTTAAACATATTCCCATTCCAGATGAGTTGCTTGGCAGCAAAGAAACAAGCATTAGCTCTTCATGACATTTACTGTATAAGTTAGTTCCACATGTTAGTAAGGAGTTTTCTTCTGTCTAAAAATAATATATTGATTTTATAAATATGGATTTTTCTTTTTGCCACTCGTTTTGCATATGCAAAATTGTTTGTGTTTGTATTTTAAGAGTGTCTTGTAATCCCTAACATCAAACTAAATGTTTGTAGGAGACAGAGACGCAACAGTCAGGTGTTTTTTATTCTAATGATATTTTTGTTATTCTGAACAGGAGCCAGCACAGCCAGTGTCCACCACACCTCAGTACCAGTGTGAGTTTCACTGAGCATATCCTGTTACAAAGATGACATCCCCCTGTGGAGAGGCAAACCTCCGAGGAGAGACAGGACCGAAGGCCACAGTGCGCCCACAGGCTGAAGCCGCCAGGTAAGTAACATTTACAGACTTGTTTGTGTCATTTGTTTCTCCAGTCTTTTCTTGTATGTCTAGGTTGTTTTACAGAACACAGTGTCTGTATTTGTTATTAGTAAAAATATGTTTTTTTCTGATAAAACTACAGAATCTTTACCTTTGTTAAATTGTGGTTTTAATGTTTAAACATTATTACTGGTGGTATAGTGACAGGTAATATGTGACATGCCACTAGTACATGTGCAGTTTCACCACTTAATCTCTCTTTAAGGTAAACATGTCGTCTAAAGTGGACAGTCCTCCATCTTATGAGGACGCAGTACAACAGCCTAAGTATGGAAACTACCCCCAGCAGCCGCAACATGGCTCCCCTCTTCCACCACCTCCATCGTACAGCCCCAGTCCCAGCATGTTCCCTGGCACCCCTGGCTACTGGGGCCAGGAAGGCATCCACCCGCGGGCCGCAATGTGGGCAGCAGCCCCTGGCTTCTCTCCGTCCGGGACGCCGTCCACAATACCGACTCTGTCTGCTGGAGTGCCTGCGTCCAACTCAGGTTCTGAGGAATGACACTGGACTTCAGTGAATCACGTCCTGCCTTATGTTCAGCTGAGCTTCTGAAAGATTAGTAAGTATAAATCACCACTCTGCTGTTCCCAATTCTGCAGGAGACATGGGGGATCTTCTGAGCGCCCAGTGGGAGAGCACATCGATTCGGCATGGCTTCATCAGGAAGGTAAGGATTTTTAACACTGGCCACGTGTCACACAGACTCCAACTGTGTGTTGTTTTGTTGTTCAGACCGACAATGACAAATCCCAGTAATCTCATCTAAATCTACTAAATGTGTTTTCTTGTGTGCTCAACAGAACATCTTGGTTTTGTGTCTTTGGGCAGGTTTACTTAATTCTTACAGCACAGCTTGCTGTCACCTTTTCAGTCGTTGGCGTCTTTACATTTGTGTAAGTGTCCCTGTGCATTAAAACAATGCTACTTACTGTGTGTGCTGGAGGATGAGGAAGTCATTTATGTCTGTGCTTTTCACAGTGACCCAGTGAGGCTGTTTGTCATCAGATACCCTGGCATCTACTGGGCATCTTTGTGAGTCACACTCTAGGAACCAAAGACTTTAAGTGCAAATAAAAGAGCAACTCTGCAGAATCTGCTGTACTGTCAGTCCTGTGTTTTTCCTGATATGATGTTGTATACAATACCAACCGAAGTGATTAATCTCTCCATAGTGTGGTTTATTTTTTGGTGTACTGCATTCTCATCTGCTGCAAAGAGCCGAGGTGAGCACGCCCCTGTCCTGTCTGAATAAGACAGAAAATGATTATACTACTACAATTTGTTTGTCTTTTTCAAATATTTTTAACCAGTAATATTTCTATCTCTATACTTAAAATATTCAAATGTATTTGTTTAGGAGACGTTTCCCATGTAATCTTGTGCTGTTGGGAATATTTGTAAGTATTGTCAATATTGATTAATGATTGAATGATAATAATTAGTGCCCAGCAAAGGCAAAAATTAAGACGATACTGTGAGGATTAAGATAGTGTTTGAATTCAAAATTGAAAAAAAAACAAAGGCAGCATATAAAAGAAGAAAGAATCCACTCTGTCCTTTATAACACATTGTTTTCATGACTCATCTTGCAGACTCTGGCCTTGTCTTACATGTCTGGAACAATTTCGAGGTTTGTTCTTGGCACCAGCTCAGCCGATCCACCAGAAAACACAAAGACAGTCACCTTTTCATAATGATGTATTCATATCATCGTTACGTTCTGTTCAATCGTTTTAGTTTTGATTTCTGTCTTTTACAGCTATTATGAAACGAAAGCCGTGTTCCTCGCCATGGGAATAACAGCATTAGTTTGTATAGCTGTCACAATCTTCTGCTTCCAAACTAAGGTAGATGGGGATGTAAACTGTGTCTCTCTGTAGCTTAGTAGCTTGTGGCTTGTCAGAGGTTGTCTTTGTTGTCAGTGTAAAAGAACTCCTTTGTCTCGCGTTACAATGGGGCTCTGAGTTCCTTTAAATATTTATAACATTTCGGGACAAGATGTGAATCCAACTTCTCCGTCTGATGCAACCCAAGATGAATGAGTTACATTTCTGGCTGGAGCAGAACACATCCTCCCCGTTTTATTATTATTATTTTATTTTATTTTATTTAAAACCTTACTCTGTTCCTTTTTCAAATGATCTCCACTGCTCTTTCATGTGACTTGAAGCCTATTTACTTCACTTTGATCCCATTGATGACTTGCTTCTCATCACAGGTGGATTTCACCTCCTGCGGGGGCCTTCTCTCTGTTGCCGCCGTTTTGCTCATGATCATAGGGATTGTTACGGCAGTCGTCCTCTCCTTCCAATATGTGAGAACTCTTTGGTCAAATCTTTTAATTCATTCTCTCTACTCTCTTCGCTCAGTTGGGTGTATCTGTGTGACTGATTTCACATTCAGCGGCCTTTCTTGTGTCACTCTACAGGTCCCCTGGCTGCATATGCTCTACGCTGCAATTGGAGCTGTCGTTTACACTCTGGTGAGTCTAAACTCTCGGGACAACTCGTGAGTTTGGTATCGCAAGGTTATCGTTGAAGAACAAGAGGCATAGTCGTCCTTACATCCTGAAACACACAGTAATTCATCAGACCGAACAACATATTGACAATATACTACTTATTGAGTATTAATCACATCAGGTCTTTCCCCACTCTGAAACCAGAAATGACTCAGTAATTATTAAATCATATAATTTATGGTAAATCAATGTTTTAGTCTGAGAGTGGTGCAAAAGGCTGAAGAGAAGGACCATCGATTGGAAAGAGTTTGTTTTCTGGGGATATTGAACATGATCAATGACTTTCAGGCCAGTTTGTATATTTGTAGTCTAGCTCAAGGAAAAGCAAATGTTCTGTTGGTTTGTTCACCACTTTTCCAAATTATAATAAGACCAATTTAATGAATCATCATGGTCCCCATATGATATACCCTATTTGACTTTAGCTTATCTTTCCTCGAGTGCTGCCACAAGGTTTCACACTCGTGGCAGTGTATTAAATATCATGGCAATCCATGAATGGGTGGCCAGAAATGTGGCTACCTAGTTAAATTGTAATTGCATGTCCATCGACTGTAACAACATCTCTCAACTTCTCATGTAGTTGTTGAACATGGTAAAAATTGTGGCCACTAAACTTGAACGTATTAACATTGCTATTGTGAGAATGTTAGCATTCTGAAGTCAGCATTTAGCTCTACATACCGTGGATGTGTAAGACTGCTTACAGCCTTATTTGTGCACTGATGGACACATAGTTGGACTCCTGGAAATGTCAAGGGGTTACGAAAAGATTCAAATATGGAAAATGAAAGTCGCCATCAATGTTGTGGCAAGTTGTTCAGATTGACTCAGTGTTTCAGAGGCGACATTATCAACACTTTCCCATTGGAATGAGATAAAAAGTATATATCATGTTAGCTTTTGAAATATTTGATGGTCTGAATCTCGTGCCTGCATCAAAAACATCTTAATAAACAACTGAACCTCATTGTTTTTCTCTGTCTGTTAGTTTCTGGTCTACAACACCCAGCTTCTTATTGGAAACCGTGAGTTGGCCATCAGCCCAGAGGAGTACATCTACGGAGCGCTCTCTCTCTATGTTGACATTGTTCACATCTTCCTCTTCATCCTTCAAATCAGCGGAGCAGCGACTGAATGAGCCCCATGGTCAGAGCGTATCTCATCATCTCAAGACTTTACTTTGTATTGTATTCGTCATTAAACAAAATGCTAAATGCAAAGTGTGTAAATTTGGATACTATCAATTCCACTGTAAACTGTATATATTTTTATGACAGTCACACATGAGCACTTTGATCTCCTCTTGCACTGTATGAAGGTGGAAGTGGATTTAAAGTTTTTATTCTCCCAAATGTGAATGAACAGAGATTCTAAAGCTTTGCAGATTGTATAGTTGTAAATTAATAATACATGTAATGTTCCTTTTTCGTGTACGCAAGTGTTATTTCAGTAGATCATCCATACGAAATTAAAACATCTTAACAGTGTGAGTGTGATCATTATTGAATTAATAAGTAAACCGTTTTTGATCCTTCAGAGGTTTAACATTAAGCATTGGAGAGGCTCACACTCTGTATATTCCTTCATCAACTTTTTTATATTGTTATACTGTGATTTCATAGTGATATCATGAAGATATCATTCTTATAATATTCTATAGTTTTTTTGATCTATAAAAGCAAAAATAATTATTTTACAGAAAATGTGTTTTCTCAACCATGTTTGTAGACACACCCACACACTCAACAGTTGGGAAAACCAAAGGAGACAAAACACTTGATGGCTTCAGTATTTTTTGTATTTATTGAGTTGACTTTAGTTCCATTAATCCCTAAAAAACACCTGTAGTTACCAGCAAACTGCTTGAGACCACAATCACTAGTCCTAAATCTGTGCTGGTAGTAGGGGGGACTCCGATCTGGATTAAAGTAATTTTCTAAACATTGTAAACATAGAAAAGAAGTTAGACAAACACTGACTCATTGGATAAAAGATGTGTGCTTCCGGCATCTTCCTTAAATCACAGATCAGCTCCTCTTTGTTTTTATTCTCTTTGTCATTTTCTGTTGTTGGACAACTATGCACATCAATCAATAAAATACACCCTACTGTTGCGCCTGCGTTATTCTTGTATCTTAATGGTTAATCATAGTGGCACGCTAGTGCCATAGAGTGTCCTCTCCTTTTCTGGATTAGTATTGTTTCCCATCACCAGCTTCTGTGTGTTAGTCCCAGATGATTGGGTTTGTCTACTTGGACGAGGGTTCAAGGTGTCAGGCGCTTAGGGTCACGGGGGAACATGGAGGTCTGACGCACGTTGTGGAGACCGAGGTACAGCATGCAGACTCTCTCCAGGCCTGAGGAGAGAGCAAATCTTTATTTTTGTCAGGAACACGTGAAGCTGGGCTCATATTCTCATATAGTTTGTTATGATAATGCTTTTATAACAGGAATTCCTCAGTAAAACAGAGAGAGAGTTCCATCTCATGTTGGTTACCCCTCAAAAAATACATCACTTACCAATGCCTCCACCGCCATGTGGGGGGGCTCCATACCGGAAGGAGTCAACGTACGCCTTGATCTTCTCCAGGTCTAGAGTGACATAAAAAAAGAGAAAGACGGTTTAAAAACAAAACAAATAAAAAGTTACATGTCAGACAATAATTCCAACCAATTTTTTGGTTTGTCATTCCCACCGGCTGCCTAAAGAGGGAGACAGAAATCATATGTTCATATGCATAATGTCTCTTAACACCATTTCTACACATGCTCTTACCGATCTGGTGATGCATGGCTCTCTCAGTCAGAAGCTGAGCATCGTGGACTCTCTGAGCTCCGGACAGGATCTCCTCACCCCTCATGAACATGTCATATGAGTTGGAATATTTCTGATCAAAAACAAGGAGACATGTTTTATTTCACATCCAGAATCAAGCTCTTCACATATTTGTTAATGACCCTGACACACAAATGGTGCAAAACTCAGCCATTGCACTAAATCTGATCCCAACTGAGTGAATTAAGTTGTTAGAGTGATTCCACAAATAACAGAAACACGACTAAAACAAGAAAAAAAGCCAAGTCATCATTTTCTGCTTTAGTTGTGGGACAAAACTTCTCAGCACATCACAATATCCAGCAGAAGACAGAACTGTGTTTGGCTCAGTCTATGGCTGCTCTCTGGCCAATTTTTTAAGTTTAGGCACCGTCAACCACAAAACTAATTTACAAAAATTTACATAACATTTGTTTTCTGCACAGTTGTTACTATGTAGCCAGTAACTGTGTCTGTAGAAGTGAGAAACTTACAGGGTTGTTTGGATCTGGCATCGTGTAGAATGGTCTGACAGCCAGTGGGTATTTATCCAGCACGTAGAAGTCAGTATCATACTGAGGAAATAAAAAAGAGCAGACACAGTCATCAAAAACAGTTTATAAAAGTGATATTATAAAATGTACTCATACTCATTTTTGTTAAAGTTATTTGTAGTTATAAAAGTTTATAAAAGTTCTGTAAGCTCTGTCTGTCTGCTTTTTTGGTTTTGTCATGTGCAATACTTATGAGGGATATGTTGTAAATTATTTATCTTAAACATCTTTTCAATTGAACTAGATCACCTTGGTGTTTGTGCAACACTGATGTACCTGCTGACACAATCATGTACAGTCTATGTCCAGTAAAGCTATATTCATATTTTTACCAATATTGAACTAAAGGGACATATGAACGTACCTTTTCCTTGACGAGACGGCCAAGCAGCTTTTCATTGGGTGTACTACAGGACAACAGAAAAAGAAGGGGATATTTATACAAGCAACTGTATTTTATCGTGTTCACCTTTACTTGCATCTCTACACTATTTATGTATATAGTTCTCTACTAGTGTATTTAAGGCAAAACCAGATTAGAAAAACTGTCTCTATGTCCATTACATTCCAAATGTCAATAGTTCAACAGAACAGTTGGATCACAAGATTTACTAGAATCTTAAAATGTTGCTGATTTATTTGTCTGATGTTTCACTTCTCTTTAAACTCAAATCAAATCATCTGACATGATGGACAGGAAGTGAGTCACAGGGCGTGAGACGTTTTCTGACCTGAGGTCTTCCTCGTCACCCATCTCTACCCCGGCCTCATGCAGCATGGCCACAGCCTCAGTGTACTCCAGCCTCAGAGTGGGCTCCAGGAATTTGAAGGGCTCACTGGGAAACTGCTTGTTCACAGTCTGGATCTCGGTCTGGAAGCTGAAACAGACACAGACACATTCAAACTTAGAAATCAAGGCTTAGAACTCAGGTTGTTAACCAAACAAGGGTTAAAGCCCACATGATCAGCCACTTTGTTAGAAAACATTTAGATCATTTAAGGCCACTGCCTCTGCTCTCTCCTCAGAAACAGAACATAAATACTTTAATGGAAAGACAGTACGAACTAAATCACAACTAAAATGCAGTAAGTAGAGAGCATTGTTCTGTCAAGGCCAGACAATCCTACACGTCTAGCTCTTACAATAAAAAAATAACAGGAAAAGGCAAAGTAGTCTGATAATCTGCAACAAATTGTACTAATTCATCAACATCAACAAAGAAATCTACGAATGGATCAAACTTGAATTACTGAGAAATTGACAAAAAGAATGTGGTGTAACAGAAGTGAAGCATTTATCTTTCAAAGACATCAAACATGAGTCATTTGTTTTAAAAATAATTTGAGACAACTAACAGAGATTTATGTCACAGTTGCTGGAACATCAGTCAAAGGTGGACGCAAAATAATTTAATATGTCACTGAGGCCCAGTGAGGAAAATCATGAGAACAAAACACAAACAGTCAAAGTGTCTTGAAAAAGAGGAACAATGGTCATAAGTTGAAACTAACTGATGATGACTTGTTTACAGAATAAAAGGGGCAGACATCTGCAGCGGATGTGATCTAATATGACTCATGTCTGATTCCGTTTACAGACACTGGGCTCTATTTTAATCATGAAAGCACGCGGTCAGAAGGCTGTGGTGTGACAGTCTTCAGGGCGTGTCCAAATCTATGTTAGCTAGTTAAATGGTGGAAAAAAACTGTTGCAAGCCAGGTGCATGGTTTATAATGGTTGTATTTAGTGTCTTTAAACATGGGTGTGTTTTTAGTGTAACGTGCAATAAACTACTAAGAGTGAGCTCTCTGTTTCCTTTGGTGAAACTTGGTGGATTGCTGTTGTAATGGCTGATTTGTCAGGTACTAAGTGCACTCTACATGTCCACCCACCTATGTAGGTTCCTGTTCCTATCTCAACAACGTGCCCTTAAAGTAAATTTAAAGCAGTTTGTTTCTGAGGTAGTAAGGAAACCGAGTTGTACCCATCTGTCCTTATTCGTCATGAATGCCGCAGCCATCAGCCAAATCCCCTAAATTATCATTTTCCATTAATTTCAGAGCTAACAATACAAGTACAGTAGAATGTAGCACAAACTCATTCAGTTGGAATAAAATGAGGTCGAAAGAGGCTTAACTTTAGGCCTTTTCCATTTCTTAACTGAGGTGGTTTGGGTGTGATGTGCACAATAGAGAGCAGGTGCCATATGTATTAAATTAATATTGAAATTGGTGAGAAGCTTTTCTTAGAGGTTGGCTTGAGTAGTCAGGAGTTTAATGAAGGAGGCAAAGCGCTCATCCATGTGCTGCCTGCGGTCAATTATTAAACAGAAGGTTTATGACTGGAAAAGTTATGTCTTAGAACTATAGTCATTCGCAGACGTTTGAAGCCATAAATACTGCAGCTTCCATAGTCATCTCCTATTATAGTTCATTACATGTGCAGTACTAGTTCACAACACTAGGAGGCAATAGAGCCACATCATTAAATTGAGTGTGTGGAAATGGCTGCCTTTTATCAGAGAAGACAGCAGTGGGTGAGAACATTTAATCTGGATTCAACAGATGAAATCACATTACTAAGACATACAATAATATAAATAAACCCTTTTATCAGCCATGAAATTTCCGCACCAGGAAGTGATCCTGTTAAAATTCAGTGTGAATCTTTTGTGACATTTCATTTGCATCAGGTTTTGGTGCAATCGTCACCTGAACCCACACAAAGTTTTAGTCCAACTGAAGTGTCAGCCTCTTAGTTTTGAGCTTCACTCTATAAATCCTGATCTTACTTGTCTCTCAGGCCCTTAAAGATCTGAACCATCGTTTCGGTGATGGAGTCGATCACTTCATGGTAATGGTAGTTGAAGGCCATTTCAATATCCAGACCCACAAACTCAGTCAGGTGACGGTGGGTGTTGGAGTCCTCCGCCCTGAAAACTGAAAGATTCAAAAATCAGTGTGTAAAAATCAGCAAATGGAAGAAGAGGAGAAGTGACAGAACATG